AGGAGTGTGCTATATCTTTGGGGAAAACATCTCCTAGCACTTTTTAGCGGAATAGCCATTCTTGTAGATGTGCACACACACACACACACACACACACGCTGAGAGGCCAGCGATCCCAACCAGCAGCTGGGAAGTGTAAATCTCACACGGCTCAGCGAGAGGCAGACATGGCACAGGCAGCCCTACAAGTGATACAGTCGTCTAGTTTTACTGCCTGCGATAACTCAGGGTGACGGGGCAGGGAGCGTGCGGCGCACGTGCGTTTGTGAGCAGCTCCATCCGCGCCTGGGCACGGGCACCAGGGGCGGGGTGAGGGACGGTGTCGGTTCAATTTCTGTAGAAACCGAACTTCTCTTTGCTTCATTGCTGAACACGCATGGTGGAGTTGCGACACAACTATGTGTTTACCGAGCATAGATCTGGGTCTGATAACGAGACGCATTTCAATGGAAGAATGTCAAATGGTCACCGCGGAGATCGCGGGTCGCCGTGGTGATCCCACCCATTCATTTATACCACTTCCTTGGGTCTCAGGCGGATATACAGTTACATGTGATTCCTGACGTCCTCAGTTTTTATAACAGATTCAGGTGCTATTATTGGCCAGCTGTTCTTCTGGCATGGCGGGTAACTTTCACCTCTCTGCATCTGCCTTGCCTCTTTCTGGACATCTAGGGCTATAATGCCGCCACCTTCTTAAAGGAATGTAACCCCAGTTTGCCTCTCCGGCTCCCAGTATGGATTCCATGCAGTTCTGTTTCCATTTCGGCAGTTTATTTGTCTTTGCGATTCAGCAGAATCTTCATGACTAAGCGATTCAGATGGGGGGGGCGGGGGGGGGGAGGAGATCAGGGGGCCCACCGAAATGCCTTTTGCTGAGCTTTTGATCCGGCTGACGTTCTCTGTAAAATCACTCCTTCTTCCCGATAGCTGTGACCCGAAAAACCCCATGAAAGTACACAGGTTGGGAAACATCTCTTGGACCATAAAAATCTCCCTTTCCATCCCTGCTGATGACTCAATGGGCTATGCAGTTAATTTGCGTTTTGTTAACCTTTGGTTTTTAAAAATATTTATTGTGCGTCAGATGGCACGAGCCTGGAATCGGGGGGTGTGTGCGTGGCGAGGAGAGACGTTTCTACACGTTCATGTAGCAAAGCAGACAGAGCAGGTAGTCTTACTGCCGCCGATACTGAACGGGTCGCGTCCGATCCCGTGCTGGCCTCCCGTTTGCCTGTGGATATTTGCGTTGGATGTTCCCCTCTGACAACAAACAGCTTGAAAGACAAAACACACGTGCTGTACCTGCCGGCTGTGTGACTGGGGGATTAGCGTGAAAATCACGGGCAGAAACGTGTGCCGTCCTGTTGAATCCGCTGACACGACTTGCACAGAACTGGAACCAGTAAACAAGTGGAACCCACCTGGTCCCATGTCATGGAAAAGGTGACCCAAACGCACCCCCCATCCCCTCGGCTAATGAGAGTGCAGAGTAACGTTACCCGCAAGCCGGTCGTGGACAATACACTGTAACACACCACACCATAGCAACTGCGTGCTGAACCATGTACTCCTGAGTGAGGGCAAGCAGAGTGACCAAGGGGCTACTATGTCTACGATGGAGACAGTTATGGAGGCAGACTGAGAGACTGGTGCACATATAAACCAGATTACATGATATATACCAGAATACGTGATATTAACCAGTGCCTACCCAGCAACACCCATTTCATATCCTTCCTTCTCTCTGGCTTTTCTAAAGGCTTGTGGTCAGTCATCCCCCCTGAGTAAGCACCATCAGCTGTGGCAAAGCCCCGGGCGCCCCCATGTGTCATTGTGGGGGGGGGGGGGGAGACTGGAGCTGCCCTCAATGCGGCCTTTGTCAGCCCGGAGCTACGTGTAACCAACAACAAAGGGCTATATCAGCCCTTACAGGCAATGGCAGAAGGCCTGGGTAATGTAACCCCGACTGCTCGGGGTGGGGGGGGGTTAGCAGGGGAAAGGCAGAGGGCGGGGCTTAAAAGGACAAAACCTCAAACTGGAGGAGCGGCAAAAACAAGGGGGAGAGGGTGTGAGACAGACACCTGGCCACTGTGGGGAGGGGCACCACGGTCCCGGGGGGTCATTCGAGTCAGAGCCGTGGTTTCAGAAACGGCGCACAACAGCGGAGAGGAAACAGCTCCCCTCTGACAAAGGCCTGAGCACCTGGCCAGGCTCCGGAGCAGGAAGTGGGCCGCCGTTTCCCACAATCCCTGCGCGAGCCACATGGCCCTTGGTCTATTTAGAGAGATCACAATTCAATACGCGCGTGGAAGGGGAGGGTGCATATAGGGTGAGGAAAAACAAAGCAAGGCAACCCACAGCCCCACCCTGCGCACTGGGTGCGTCCAGACCTCATAAGAACACAACCCAGGCATAACGGTCCACTTATCTTTCCGTCCTCCTCCAGGCCCATGAGCAGAAGCTGGAACCCAAAAGGCTTTCTGAGCACCCAATACACTCCAGGAGAGTTACCAGAGTGTTACTGGAGTGTACCAGAGTGTTACTGGAGTGTTACTGGAGTGTACCAGAGTGTTACCGGAATGTTACCGGAATGTTACTGGAGTGTACCAGAGTGTTACTGGAGTGTACCAGAGTGTTACTGGAGTGTACAGCTAGAACTGGCCTGTGCCTGTCACAGTGGGTGCATGAGCCCCGATTTTCGGCCAATGTTTTTCATCAGCCACAAAGGAGGCAGCTTAAGGAACAGCTCCAGACAGGGGCGGGGGGGTGCAGTGGAATTAGCAGGTTAGGCTGTCTACACAGTAAGGATGGGGAATGTAGTGTGGGGGTGTTTTCATTCCTCACCACCTGCCAAGATCAGGCCGCGACCCCCACCAACACGTGCTGCAGGGGCATAAAGACCCAGTTGCCCCCCCCCCCCCAAGGAACAACATGGCCCTAGTTTCCATCAAAACACAGCTCGGTCCAAAGATGGGGGGGTGGGGCGAGGAGAGACAAACAGATGCATTTTCCGGTCCTGAGCTTTTCAAGGCCAGTCACTAAGATTTTTAAACACTTCCATTTATCGTCGCCTTGTTAGCGCTCTACGTGTTTTATTGAACCGGGTCATAATTAACATGGACTGAGGTGCGCGATAAATCCGACTCGGCTATGCTGAGGCGTGCGATTTAGCAGGTTGAGGCACGCGATTTACCGGGCTGAGGCACGCGATTTACCGGGCTGAGGCACGCGATTTACCGGGCTGAGGCACGCAGTTCACTGGACTGAGGCATGGCCAGACACGCGATTTGCCGGACTGAGGTGCATGATTTACTAGGCTGAGGCATGCTGAAGTTCTCGACATACTGGACTGAGGCTCACAACTTACCGGACTGAGGCGTGTTGAGGCACGAGATGTACCGAACTGAGGTACATGATTTACTGGACTGAGGCACTTAGATGAGGAAAAGGAAGAGGAAAAAAATCGTTGTATTTTGTGGCCCTTGGAGGCTAAAGACGCTTTGTGGAGACAGCTGCGGGGGGGGGGGGGGGGGGGGGGGCAAAGCTAGCAACGTGATGCCTTTGGAGGACCTGGTCGCTGCGGTCTGTGAGCGGTGCAGGCGGGTTTCCCTGTGTCTCCATTGCTCTGCTGATGGCTAACAACCCCCGCCCTCCCCAGTGTGGAAATATTTCTAGCACTGCTTCACTAATGTTAAAAGAAATGCTGTCAGTACTGGAGGGCTACCAGACACACAAGCTTAAGTGGCAGAGAGAATGTAAACATCTGCTTCAATAACCTTCCAATGCAATTTTTTAATCCCTGATGCACTTTACACCACTTTTTCTCTGGAGGGGGGGGGGGGGGGGTTAGCTTCTCAGCACCAGCTGGCCTTTCCCACCCCACAAGTATGGAAAAACAGGTTCCTCAGTAAAAAGACCGCTTCCTTGGCAATTGTGCCAACCTCAGGAATCACACAGTCCCCAGGTTCCATGATGTACAGACTGGAAAGTATGGAGACCATTGACCAGAGCAGGGGACAGTGTGACAGGACAGAGAGAGACAGGCTGGGAGAAGATGCCTCTCCCATGACAGAAATAACCCCTTTCCCGTTGTCCCAGGCCAGCTGCAGCCATGCGTCTATCTCTGCACAGAGCCACAGCGTGTAATTACTGGGGTGCTAAGTTTTTAGGACGCTTGTTTTCCTCCCTGTCATCACCAAGCATGTTGTTTTGGTGAGAAACCAGTCCCAGGGTCTCTCCCAGTAAATGAAAGCATTTAAACAACACCTCCCCCCCCCCACAACCCAGGGTGAGAAAGTACAGGTGAGAAACAAAATCCTGCCTCAAAAGACAATGCCTGGGGTGGATGGAGATTTAAGCGCAGACAGGGTCATATTCCGTCCTAAATCATGGGGGCGGTGTGTACCGGCTCCCCGCCCTGCGTTATGTGCAGTACTGTTTACCTGCCGCTCCTTCTTTAGCAAGACACAGCAGAGTTACAGTTACAGCAAACGGCATCGCCACCGGTGCGGCTTTCAGTTACGCTTTCCAGAAAGTTTTGCAGTGCCTATGGAAATAAGACCTATGAACACGACCGAACACATCACAGGAGTGGCAAATATATGATGATCGTGGAGCTACTTTTTACACTTATACACGATAATAATAATTTTAGTTTTATTCCGGGTGCCTGCGGTTAATTCTTCTACAGTTTAATGCAGTATTATCGCCAGATATGCAGTAAGGTACAGAAACCACAAGCCTTCCATTCATCACAAACCTTTGCTGCTTGATCATAGACCGTAAAATCCTCTCTGGTGCCCGAAAGTTTTTCATGCCTAAGTATGCCACAGTTAAACACCTACAATATATAGCCGTGTCACATGACCATGGAGACAAAGATACTGAAAAACAATAGATTGGGAGCAAGGAGATTTAAAAGAAAAGTCGAATAGCTAGGATGAGAAGCGTGGGAAGCTCAGACGTGCGCCGCTTAAACGGGAGCTTTCTGCACTCACCTCCTGAGATCTTCAGCTTCTGGTCGGGACCTCCTCCAGCTGTCGCGCTGATCACCACCCCCAAACGGCAGCTGCTCCTCTGGTCCAAAAAATGAGAAAAGACGGAAGAGTCTTGATATACGGAGCAATGAGCGCTGCACTGCTGAAGAAGCCGGAGACGCAAGATCCCACCCCACATCCAAACTCCCCCTTCCACTCTCTCTCTCTCTCTCTCTCTCTCTCTCTCTCTCTCTCTTTGTAGACTTTTTTAAATCTAACCCATCACACATCTGCAGCCATGGGTAAAGTGTGATTGCTCATTTGGATTATATCAGTAAAAACAAATCCATATTCACCTGTCTCCGGACAAATCCCCTTAAAAAGGAAAGAAGTCATCAGTTTTTTTTATGCGCAGGGAGGGATCGTCTAACTTGGTGAAAACATCGCAGTTCACTTTAAAACGTAACACCCCCCCCCCCAAAAAAAAACAAAACATATGCAATAAGCAAGGCTATTAAAACACAAATGCCTTTTTTATTAAAAAAAATTTCACGCTTTTTTGCGTTCTGAATGTAATTAAACGAACTGGAGTTTTGAGATGGTCTTACGGTCGTGGTTCTGATTAGTTATGAACGGTGGAGTCGTGTAGAAAGTCTAATAGAAACCAGTTGAACCTCAGGGTCTACAGTCTTTAATGATGATCGGTCTTAAACGGGATGTAATTTGCGTTTAATTACTATTAATTAGTCATTTTTAATTAATCTTGTGTCAGTAGTGGGGGCGTGAAATTACGCCTGTCTTACCTCCCCCCACAGATACCGTGTCTACCTTATAAGGTCTCAAATCCCGATGGATCCCTCTAAAGATGTGTAACCAGATGAAGTGGAGATTGATGCGATAGGTATGGTTACTATTGCGCCGCATTTAAACGGAAAATGTTTTGCTTCTGCCAGTAGATAGAGAAAATTGCCGAGATGGAGATAAGGTGGCCATGGGGAATACAGGAACAGTGAGGTATTGTGGTATGTGGAAAGAGTAAACATCGCTACACGTGGGAAAGGACATTAATGCCCCAAGTTGTGTCCTGCAGGTGACAGAAGGTTAGCTTAGGCAGTAAATGAAGTCAAATGAAATGAGTAGCGTCACTCGTGAAAGTCAGCTGAACACTGAACGCGAAGCCCGCAGATGCCGGAGGCCGTTTGTCAGCCTAATTACTGACCTGTTCCTTCAATCAGGCGTTGTCTTGCTGTCGCAAGACACCCTTTGCTTATTAAGCGGGACACGCGTTTCCCTGTCTCCCCTAAACCTGCAGATCACGATCATTTCCAGACATCGCCGCCTGTTTACCTGGCTGCACCAGGCTGCCCGTTCTTCTTTGACAGCTATCGTTTGCGCCAATTCCGCTTTTACGCAAGTTGTCTGGTGGGCGTCAAAACGAAATATGGGCAGAAAGCGGCTCTATTCGAGGGGAGAGGGGAACGTGGGATGGTCTCATGAATGCCGCCTTACACTGCAAGGGGACAATCACAATCGGGTCTCTGGTTCTGAGAACAAGGGGCAGGGGTTGCATTCCTAACCCTCTCACTCCCAGAGCAGCTCTGGATGCCCAACTCCAGCCCAAGGGCATGGTAGCACTGAGGTCACCGCTGACCCCCTGCCTGTTGGAACAGTGGTCATCAATCCCCCCTTCCCACAGAAACCTGACTGAAACTTTATTTGTTGGGCCCAGTTCCTGAGCTGCGGGGTTGCAACATAGTGTTCAAGTTCGCTATTTGTTTGGTGGCTGTTTTTGCAGGGAATTTTTTTTTGGGAGCAGCTGGGTATAGTCAGCTGGTTATGTAATCTAACTAGTACTAATAAGGGCGAGAGTCAAGTTAAGGCACCGTGTGGAGAGGACAGGTCAGAAAGCCACAGAGGGAAAGTGGAGATAATGGCTTCTTCAGAGTTAGTCTGTCAAGGCTCCTGAGGAATTCAGAAACTTGTGACTAGATTTTATAAACACTGGCAAACACCGTGTCCCATTAAATGGGCTGTAACGGGTTAACAGGAACACTGTGCAGACGTCGCAGTTGAGAGAAAATGCATCCATAAATGTTATCTTCAGGAAGCTAATGAACACATCCCAGAAGACACCGGTATGTTTTTTCTCTCCCTGTCTGTGTGTCGTGGTTAATTATTGAGTTCAAGCTAGACCCATGGTTAACCTGTGGTTGTGTTAGCGGTAAATCCTTAAGTGATTCTAGGAACGCTGTAGAAATTTAAAGTTTGAGGAGTTGGACTCTCCTCCTACTTCCAAGTCTCGCCAGGGCTTCTGACGTCCTCTGTGTTTTTTGATTTATGGCAGGATCCACACTGGTGCAGTCTGAACAGCTGTTGGCTGGAATGTGCGGTGACCCCGTGGCCAGAGAGTGTCACCCCCCGTCCCACAAACACACCCCAACCCCCAAAACATGAGTATTCGACTTTCGGCCGAAAACCGCGTTCAGGTTCCCATTTCAGAATAGCTCCGCCTATGTGCGCTCCCACAGAGCAGGTAAAGACACATCTACTGGAAGAACAGGCCGGTCTGTGGAAACTCGCTGGTTCTCGTCTCGCTCTCACTGCCTCCCGCAGCCCTGCTTGCCCGGGGCAAGTATCTGCACACCTCTGGTGCTTATTAATGTTGTGCATCTCTAATTCGTCTGTTGCAAGTGTGCTGATGTAATGGAGGACAATCTCAGCCGAGCAGTGGAATGGGGGGGGGGCACACAGCAATCCTCCCCTGCCTAGGCGTTGTTAGCCCCCTCTTCCCGTTATTTGCTGGTTACTTGCTGTTTCCAATAAAACAGGCAATTTCATATTCTACAGCACGGGCTCACGCAGAGAAAATAAGTAGGGAGATTGTTGTTAATTACTTCTAATTTGCATTTTACTGCTTTTTGCGGTTGGAGAGTCTGCCGTAGGAGAGCTCAGCTCCCTACAGTTATTAGCAGTGGGTGAGAGGGAATTAACGATGGCCTGGCAAGTCGATCCATGCTGGTCTCGACTCACCGGCTGGTACGCGGCCCAACCCAGCTCCAGACGTGCTTCCCCAAAAATGAAAAAAAAACACCATCTCATCACATCTTCCCGCTCTGCCTCGCGTCATCCCCCACTGCCTCCATCTAGCCTCGCTATCGCGTCTTCTGCCTCCGCCTCCCTGGCCTGCCTCCCCACTTTTCCTCGATGACATACCTCTACATTCTACCCTATTCTCCCGCTTCCCTCCCATTCGCCCTGGAAGCTTCTCCTCTCCTTCGACATTGTGCTGAAACTCTGCCTAAATGTGACATCTGAAGTCCATATGGGATTGATCTAATGACAACTTCCCCCCACCTTACTCCAAAGCCAAAATGACCTCATTTTGATTTACTGGAATCGTTTCCTGCAGATGGGATGTTGTTCATGAAGGTCTGAGCTATGCTGGTCTGGTCATGCTTCTGCCAGCCTGTGATCCGATCCTGTGCAGTTCATCTGTGGCACAATCAGTCGGCGCGTTCAGCCGTTAGCAGAAAAGTTGGCAGTCTGAGCCCACCTATATGCCATAAAGCCACTGCAAACTGGACAATGCACCATGGAAGCTGCAGAACTGACTCCGCTCCCGATTCCAGTCTGTGATGCTGATGTCAGCTTTTGGCTTTGTTTATGAGCCTGTGCCAGTCCGGACCAAGCTGGGAAATCCATGAAAACCAAAAGCTGTCAAACATGGGGATGAAAGGACAGCCAGAGGCGTAGCTACAAGACAGGCAAGGCAGGAAATGTCCGGGGGCCCCCGAGCCTGGAGGGGGCCCCCGAGGGCAGAAGATTACATAGTACATTGCAACGACAAATACACTTTATTTGCATTTTCTGTTTTTCACCAACTTGAAAATCAAGGATTTGTGTTTACTAAATTCTCTTTGTTGATATCATTCATATAAACGTCACGCTAATATAATGGCGGTAAATTATACCAGGACGGGGGAAGGGGAGTTGCAGAGTCCCTAGAATCACCTCTAGGCATATCCATATTTGCTGAATAAAAGTGGCAGGACCTTCAATTCACTTTCTTGCTGTTACAAATGGGAAAAATCTGACAGCGTGACACTTTAATACTCGTGTAACTGGCATTCTTTTTAAGAGTTCCCACTGGTATTAGCCTGTACTGCGATCCTGCTATCTACACCCACCAAACAGTGTGGAACGGATAAAGTAAAGGTCATGGAAAAGCCCAACAAATCGACAACAACGAGGAGACGAAGTCAATGACTTAATGAGCTGGTGTGGAAACACTGATTCCAGTCTGACTCTCGTCATGCACTAAGTATTCAGTGCCGCTGCAGGCTCGCATATATAAAACAAATTCTTTTTGCGGTGGCAAGAAGCGACGGGGCCACAGACTTCTGGCGAGAGCGGGCTTCTTTTTCTCGCTGCAGCCGTATTTTCCACGACTCCCAAGGCACCGGAGCCCGGGCAGGATTAGGGATGCGGTGCCGCCTGAGGCGTCTTCTCATTCCTGGGTCAGGCCAGATGGAAAGGCCGGCGAGGACGCCGTGTGATGTCGTGGATCGAAGGTCGCGGCGGCAGGTCTGCGCTGCCAAATCACTCCGCTCTTCAGACACACAGTGATTTGTTTTGGGCCACAGCATGGACAAGGTCGGACTACAAGTCCTCACCAAAGCAGCAAAGATTGGGTCTCAAACCAGCAACCTTCACACTATAGGCATTCACATTACCCTACTTACCACCTTGCGTGAGTGTTCTGCCTGTGCATTTGCTACATGCACTCCTGGTGCGACATTTTGGCTTGGATGCTGTAGCGTTTACCTCATGCTCTTGTGCCTGTGATGTTTCTTCCTTGCCGTGCCTTTCATTATGAAAAACTGCCAAGATTAGTGTGGGGAAGACGGACAAGAAAAAGAATTCAGGAAGTTGCAAGACGTGTCATTGGATTAAAGCAGAGATTGTGTCTGTCATCGGGGGTGGGGGGGGGGGGGGGGGGGGGGGTGCTGGTGACGTGTGCAACGGGGTGGGCTCGAAGCCAGCCGCTTGAAAACGGCACACGAGTAGAAGAGGCAGATGGTCTGGCTGAGCCACAGCTGCATACAGAAAAAAGATCATATTTAGACAATTTATAAAACCAGGATTAATTATCTGTTAGTGTTAACCAGTCTCTCTGGCAGCTGAGGCCCTCGTCACAGCATCCGAAGTGATTCGGACCAGCTGCACCATGGCAAAAAAGGATAAACGTAATATGCATCTTGTATCTGATACAGATCTCCTTCCTATGCTGGCTGTATTCCGCTTACTGGTGGGGGGTGTTCATGCTGAACCTGACTGGGGACCCGCAAAACAGGGAACTCCATGCTTTAATGTTGAATTAACAGGAGGGATTACGCATTTTCACCTTTGTAAAAAAATAAAATTGTTACAGCCTGTAAACTCTGGATGTTCAATGTCATATAATTGCCAGATAAAGTAAATACAGATGTAAACTGAAATACTCTTTGAAGAATTTTGTGGGTTTTATTATTATTTAGTTGTAGTCGTAGTAGTAAAATAAAACGTACCGCCAAACTAACATGAAGCTGACCCTTCTCTTTTTCATGTAAATAACATTTGTTCTTTTGTGAAACAGATGGCTTATGTTATCATACTTGTGTTATGATTATCTCAAGCTTGATGGAACAAATCCGCCTTCCAGTCAAACTACGGTGAGCTCAAGGGTGAAAATTGCAGAAATTTAAACAATATCGCCACCTGCTGTCCATCTGCAGCCAAGATCTTTGTAATTATTGAAATCAGAAACAACGTAAACTACATTAAAGTAGGACACTCTTATGGGACACCTGTTGAAGCCCATTGGAAGCCTTTTGGCGAGCCCCCATCGTGTAGCTTTTCTGTGCCGGCACTGCAGAGGGCACCAGACCAAGTGAAATTTATTTTTTAAGTCGCGCCCCATCACTTTAGGTAGCCTATGTTCACACTAGAGAAACAATGAAAAGCGTAAGGCGTTGTACTGCGTTTTTTTTGCGTTTTCATCTCACGTTTGTCCATGTCCTTGTGTGTCTTTATATGTTTTTGATGTTGCGTTGTATTAGCCGTTTCTATAATTGTCCCTAGTGTTTGTGGGTAGAAGGAGGGTATAAAAACGCATACAAACACTTTTATCCATCATCGTCATCAAAGCCCGATTACCATAGAAATATTCACCTATGAACACGCTTAAGACTCCGCCCCATTCCCCAGCTATAAATTACCCTAAATTGACACTGCGAATTAGCCACCTGTACATATAAACGTGCATATACTACGTTTGAGAGACAATGGAATCACAAACAAGAGGGGAAGAGTAATTTCTCAGAATGCGAAGCGCGGACTCTATAGTGTCCGAAGTAGAGGATCACCAAGCCATTTTATTTGGTAGTACGTCTGTCAAGTTCTTCCACTCGGAGGTCCCGCTGTTACTTGGCCTGCCACTTTGTTGCTGAGTTTCTGCAGTTCCTAAATGCTTCCACCCTGCAATAATATCACTTATGTTTGACCATGGAATATCTAGCAGGGAAGAAATTTCACAGACTGACTTATTGCAAAGGTGGCATCCCATGACAAGGTCACACTTCGGTTCACTGAGCTCTTCAGAACGACCCACTCTTTCATAAATGTAAACCTGCCTGCAGACTAGGTGCTTGATTTTGTACGCCTGAGGTATGGGTCTGAATGAAACACCCGAATTCAGTGATTCAGAGATGTGTCCCTATACTTTTTTCCATATAGTGTAGTAATTTTTGAACAAATAACCAATTTACTATTAACAAGGAAACAGAACCATGCCGCGCGATGGCGATGACGAAGAGATAAACGTCGATGATGCAAAAGAGAGTGCTCCTTTGACTCACTCTGTGAAATTTCACTACCCATCCATCCATTTTCAGAACTTGTGGCCTGTACTACGAAGCAGGGTTACTGGCTTATCCGGGTAACTTTTCAGATTTAAGGTAGTCTGGGCAAAATGTAAGTGAACGAATGTGAAGTCCATTTAAATTGTGGTACCTTAAATCCGACAAGTTACCCCGATAAACCAGTAACCCCGCTTCGTAGTACAGGCCACTGCTTGCCCTATTCAGGGTCATGGAGGTCCAGACCTTATTCTGGAGGCTACGGGCACAAGGCAGGGAACAACCCAGGATGAGGTGCCAACCCATCACAGGTCACACTCACACACAGACCTACGGGCAACTGGGTAACTCCAGTCAGCCTCAGAATGTTTTTGAACTGTGGGGTGAAACCGGAAAACCCAGAGGAAACCCCAAGATGACACAGGGAGAACATGCAAACACAGAGCCGGGGCAGAGCCTCAAACCCTGGTCCCAGATATGCGAAGCAAAAGCGGTAACCTCTGCGCCACCATGCCACCCGAAATTACACCACTGAAATAAAATTGCAGACTTTAATCATGATTGTGTGCTTTCGTGAATGAAATAAACGCCTTGCTGAGTTATTTCCTTTGAATATGTAATATATGGAAATCATGTATCCATTGGTAAGATGTTGCCTCTGGAACCTAGAAATCTAGGTCCAATGAATGTGGCTAAAATGGAGCCCCACCCTGAGCCAACAATCAACAGTTTGCAATAAGGCAGAATACCATATACAGTACGAAACATGAGTCGGCTGGCAGCCCATTCTCCTGTGTCTGTTGCACCAAGCGATACACCCGCTGACGACCTACTACGTCTCGATGAGTGTATATTATTTGCTATGGACCTCGTACGTTCATAAGATCGGACGTTACTCGACAGGACGTAAGTCGACGGATACCTGTAATTAAATCAATATCTAATAGGCAGGTGGATTGAAATGCGTGGGTCTGACGTTGTTCCCAGACTCCCTCTTTTGGCTGAATTGAAACACCACAATACCAGATAACTCACACCAGTATATTTTCATAAAGTGTTACTATTAACCGCGCAGTACAGGGCAAGGCCGCCTAATCGGTTTGCCCGGCACTACAGTCCACTAAAGTGTGTAAAACAAGCCTGAACTTTAACAAAGACGTATGCAGACAATCAAAACACATTTTAAACATCCCTGAGAATCACAAGCAACCACGTAAATTCAAAGCTCCTTGTACGCATGCGCGCAGGGGTCGCTTCTTGATTACGTCAAAACGTCGACATCCGTCCATACGTATTTTACGTATCCACATTGGACACCGTACACGTTGAAGCTGTTGCGGCTGCTTCGATATTCCAACTTGCATCGGTTTGTGTAGGGTTGAACAATGTCTTCATTTAGGAAAGCGCTAAAATCTCAACAACGGAACCACAAAGAAAGGTCTCAGGTAAGCTTAACTAATAGCTACGTTAGTCGTGTGGTTTTTCTAGGTCGTACAGAACGCTTTACAGCCATATCTGCTTTTCGGAATTAGCATTGTCTTTTCTCTTATTTCGTTTTATATAAGATTGCATGTCTCACCCAACTTCTTTCCTTTTCCATGTGTTGACCAGCCCGGTTTCAGAAAACACTTTGGTATTTTGGAGAAGAAAAAAGATTACAGACTTAGGGCAGAGTAAGTAACTCCCTTTCTGTATGTGAAACACAACACTTGTATTTTTTCTGTTACCTTTTATTGTGTTATTTCGATTGCTGTTGAAACATTTGAACAAGTATTATCGACAGCAACGTGGGGTGCCAGAAACAGTGCTGGGGCGGTCCTTAATTCAATAAATCGCTTTGATTGGTTGTGTGCTTGTCGGGCCACGCCCACTCCGATTTACCTTTAAAATTCTGGGGTGCGTTTCCTCGATAACGGTGTCTCTTTTTTACGATTACTTGAAAGATATACCTTACTAAAGATCTTTTCCACGTGAGTTTCCCAAATTCTCCCTTAAGAGGTTGCTTAGGGGACAGCTTCTCACGTAGGCCGTTAGTAAGTGTTATCCATGGTGATGGAGCAGAATTGGTCGACTGAATTCGATCGATTATTTTCTCCATGCAGCCAGCGCTTGATTACGTCGTTAGAGAAAGAAATAAAACACTGCATTAATCACAACTGTTCTGAGAGGTGTGAGTGTTCTATATTTTGAAAGCTACTACCTGTAATTGTATGTTTGAAATGAGTTAGGAAATAAGAACATCCTAGCTCATGACTGTGTGGGGTCTGTGAGCATCCAAGTGAATGAGAATGATTATTGGACAGATGGAGTGTGGCTATGAAGTGCAAATGTGGAAGAAGAATGAACGCAGCCATGCAAAGTTGCAAAAAACCAATGTGCCCCAAAATAAATGATAGGGAGCAAATGTGTAAGAGATGGCATGGCTGCCTGTATGGCACAGTTTCTGTCTTGGCACGACTACACGCTGAATCACTGCCTTAGTTTGGCCTTACTCGGTACCATATCTCCCGATATATTGACTCTAATCCGTAATTTTATTTATATTTGTTTTTATTTACTTTTATATAAAAATGTGTTTTCAACTGATGAATTGCTCTCAGTGGAATCATCACTTTCACCAGTAGGGGGATGTTTAAAGTGTTAGATCGACCAGTGATCAGCCAGGTCTCTAAAATAGCTCAGAGATGCATCTCATGAACCTTCAGTTGGCAGGGATATATTGACAGAGCACAAGACAGTGTTACTTTGTTAATTTGACAATGGAAGAACAGGGTAAACAGTCAGTAAGCATTTGATATCAGACTTTTACAAGCTGTTTGATACTAGTTCAGCAATCGATGCTGGTTTTGGTGTATAGCCTGTATCCTCACCTGTTACTGGCTTATTTAGAAACAGTAAAGAATTCATGGTGACTCTGGAAGATCCCTTAGCTGCCTTTTCCTCCATTATGATTGACTGCAAGCGACTCCTGCATGTATAATGAATACAGACATGCAGAGACCGACGTGCTGTGGATTCTCAGCAGCGTGTCGTGTTTGGCAGCCTGGTTGGTTGAGCCGTGCCGACGATCTGTGCTCTGTTTGGGAACCCAGTGACTACCACAAGAAACAGAACACGCTGCTGGCGCTCCGCAAGAAGGCGCAGCGGAAGAATCCGGACGAGTTCTATTTCAACATGATCAACTCAAAGTTGCAGGTGGGTGGCTGGATCGGCAACGGCGTCGCTGACTGCGTGGATAGTCAGGTGTATGTATGACTGCCGGCAGGGACGATTCTACCTTTTCAGGGGCCCTGGGAGAACCTTTACTTGGGTGGGCCCCCTACCAAGAAATGCGTACTTGGATTTTCCTCCACAGGTAGTTCAGGGGCCTTTACAACACCCATGCTGTCTGTAGCTAGAGCCAGCCCTGACTGTTGGGATATGCAGTGTGTAGTTTGCCATTTACCAACCTGCTAGGGCTCCAGGAGGTGAGGCGTGCGGATGAATGACAACGGCGGCTGTAGTAGTTCAGATGATGGACTTCTTGGAGCCTGACCGATACAGGATTTTCCAATACCTGCACCAATTTCGATATTTGAGAATTTAAAAATTCGGTAATGAAATATCTGCTGATTTTATTCTTTTTTTTTTTTCCCTGTTTTTTCCCCCATAACAAAGATTTATGTGTACTCCTGACGATAACACATCACAATGTAGTTTGCAAATAAATGTTTGTCATAAATAGTACCTGAACAAACAAACATCAAACAAATGACAAGTTTTGAAGAATGAGTTAAATGTACAAAAATAAACACGTGTTGCTGACTCGGGCATTGCTGTGTGCCCTCTGGTGGACAAAGTGTGCAACGATCGTAACAAAGCTGAAGAATCCGTCTTCCGTCTCATTGCTTTTTTAATTGTCAATTTTCGGCAGTTATAAATTCTGATATTGATTTATCTGCAGTTATCTCATTTCGGCTGATAATATCGTTATGCTGTAGAATTTGAGGGTTGAGGCCCTTCTCCAGTATCTGTGTGCTGTTGAATTATCTACGTAGTGTAGATTTAGTATGAATGCTCAAATGTACAATTGGTTTGAATTGTAACTAACATGGTAAGAATCAGGTGGTAATTCCATGTTCACCCGTGTTGAATGAGACCCCGTGGGTTTCCACGTCTTACCGTCTGGGGAGGGCGGCAGCGAGTGGGTGGGGGGGTGATGATTTTTAGAATTTTTCAGGCAGTGAGATTCATTGTGTTCATCTGCGACCTTTCACCTTCTGCTATGGACCAATAGGACGGCGTTCACATAAAGAAGCCAAAAAATGACGACGTGGTGACGGAGGAGCAGAAGAAAATGATGAGGACTCAGGACATTGGCTACGTGAGGATGAAGAGGGTGGCCGAGGCTAAGGTAGCTGTGTCGCTGTGCAGATATTCGCTTCTGTGTTTGAGACACCTTGACTGGTTTGCACGCAAACCTCCATACAGCGTCGAGGCTTGTTAGTCACAAGCTGCTCCCTGCCCAACTCGTTAATCGTTTATGCAAACCGATATTTGACAGCTGGGCTGGTGAGACGCCTGCGGCTGACCTATAACATAATGCATCCTATCCCCCTCCAAGAAAATCGAAAGGCTGAGATCGGAGCTTCACCTCTTGGACGCTGAGGGCAAAATGAGGAATAAACACACGTTTTTTGTAGATACTAAAAAAGAAGGTGAGAGGGGCTGTGTTTGTTTGCCGTTCATGAACGTCCGGGGGGCTGCGGGATGGGTAACGCGCTGTGGCTGCTGTGATGCTGAAGACGTCTCTCCATTGCTGCTGTTTGGCGCCCCCTAGTGGACAACTTTGACCTGGCGACACACCTGAACACAGCCCCTGAGTTGGTGGGTCGAGTGTTCAACCGGCCCAGTATGGAGACGCTGGAGACCAAGTCCATCCAGGGGGCCACGAATCCCAAGCAAATCGAGGTAAGCTCTGTAAGGGCACCCCCCGCCCCCCACCGCCTGACTGGAAGGGCCACCGTGGTCCTGGGTTCAATTCCATTTTGTCACGAGGGGTGTTTAGTGTCCTTTATTGTAGAGCTTTCAATAGGACCTCGATTACTTTAATCAGAGAAATAACGAGTTCAGCTGAGTGCTCAGTTGGCAAGACCACCTTTACCTTCTCAAGCACCAGGATCGCACAAACGTTCGGCCTTTGCACAGCAGCCAAGGTGAGCCTTGCCCTGCACAGGGTCTAAGGCTATGTCCGCACTAATGCGTTAATTTTTTTACAGTAGTTTCTTAAAGGAAAAGATCTGCGTCCGCACTACCGTTATCACTAGTGCTGAAAAAACCTCTGTTCACACTGCTCCATGTTAAAGGCAAATGAAAGCGTTAATTAGCTTTAGCTAATTCTCTATGTTGTATATAAAAGTGATTGTTAATGCATGTATCTCTGACGTTCTTCATTTGCACATTTAACTAAAGCTTTATATATTTTTAGACGTGGAGCACTTTGTTTCCTGTAGCTCAAGCACTGGGTGTCATTTGCACATTTTTTGTTCAACCAAAATTTTTTATAATTCTAGAAGTGGCGAAGTATATATTTTGGATCATTTATTTTCACTCTGACTAGTAATAAAGTTTAGTCTTTATAAACGCTTGACTTGATTAATCTCATACACAACCATCTGTTTAAGTAAATGCATGTATTTTATTTAGCAAAAGCAAAATATCACAGTCCTTCAGCGTTGCAAACACAAAGTTGTACATAAAAAGAATCATCACAGCCACAACGCAGTCTTTAGTCTCTACACGCCTCACTCTCTTCCCCTAGGGTGCAGTCCGCTCTTGTCTTACTCTAATGTTCAGTGGCTGGATGTCTTTATATCGTAAGCTAGAGCTGCACTTAAACTTGTCTCCGGTACAGTCTCGTTTTGACCTTTACAATAGTTGTAAACGGTGTACAATGTACACAAAACATAATTTAGCTGCACACATGGAAGCAGAACAACATATGCCAGATAGGGAGAATCCTGAACATCCTCCATGCTCACATGTGGCTCACTTCCATGAAAACAAAGGCAAAGCATTCATTCTTCATTCCCGTGAAGAATAACCAATTAGGAAAAGAGGCGTCGAAATGAAGAGAGCTAATTGGAAAAGGGTCACGAGCCAAGTATGAACCAATCGGAGCTCACTGATTTAGGCGTAACACAATTTTTACGTTTCTGAGCATCTGCACTAATGCATTTACAGAAATATCAGTTGTCGGACAGCTATGAAAATGTTCTCCCACTTCTGGGGAAAGAAAGATCCGCCTTAGTGAGGACGGATGGTTAAATTGGAGGAAAATGTTTGTGTTCCTAAACGAAAATGTGTTAGTGCGGACATACCGGAATTGGCACGTAGACGCCATTCTCTAAAATATAGACCTAGAACTCGTATAAATGTAAAAAAGTAAATGAATGAAATATGTATATTTATGCCTCATATTACTAACTCTTCCAGCTGATTTGCGTAGTGCATCCAGTGTGGATGTAAATGCTGTAAACGCGCAGCGGCACAGGTGAACGGCTGGCATGTCTCTGATGTGTTATGGGCGTGGTTCTGCTCAGGGCGGTCTGTGGGGCGGTCTGTGGGGGAGTCCCCTCCTGACCTAAGCACAGGTAACAGGCCCTGGCCTTCCTCTATTGCATGATTCATTTCTTTTTTAAACTCCCCCTCCTAGAGACTGGCCAGGCAGAGACGACACCAGTACAAGATGCTGGCCCAGCGCTTGGCGAGAGAAAAGGAGATGTTTGTTATCGAACAGAAGATCCAGACCCGGAAGGATCTGCAGGTAAGCTAGACCCCACCCAGCAGTCAGGGATGAGGACACGTCCCGCCCAACAGGTGGCTGTGGGCTCAGTGCCGAATGTTACACCTAACTCTCTGGGATGTGGTGTGCAGAATGCCTGGTGATGTCTAACACGACTCACAGGCCACATCTCTGTATTCCTCTCCAGGAGAAGTGCAAGAAAATAAAGGTGTGCAAGGAGACCAAGCAGGCCCCAGCAATCTACAAATTTGATACCAAGAGGAAGCGCTGAGGTCTGACAGTGACCCCCCCCCCCCCACACACACACACACACACATCACATCACATCACGGGTGACCTCAAAGTTCCTGTTCTTCTGGAATAGTCTCACCTTGGTTGTGATTTGGCTGCTCAAGAAAAGAACAATTTCCGACACATGATATCTGAAGATTTTTTGTATTTATAAGATGCAAGAAAAATGCTTAGTAAGGCTTGGATTATGTATTAAACATTTTTGAATTTAAAACCCTGTGGCCTTTTTGTTGTGCTGTGCCTATGAGCCAGCAGGGGGCGCTGGTGGGCTTTGCAGTGATTCGCAGTGGGGATCGCTCACTTGCAAGGAATCTGCTATTTGACAAGTAATCGGATACTATCTGGATTTATTACTTCCCATTGTCTGCTCTCCGTTGAGAAGTGGGTTAATTGCAGTTGTGAGATTTGCAATCGAAATAATTGATAATAAATTTCAGTCTAATTACAGTTTCATAGTGCTTATTTTTTATGTCAATTGGTTATAAATTGTCTATCGGTGGGATACTTAATACAAGCCATTATAATATTCATGTTAAAATTTCATATTCATGTTCTCATACATCTATAATCTCTCAGTACTTCTTTGTCCGATGGTGACGATGAATCTTCAATTACTATTCAGACTTTTAATGTTTGCAATTAAACCTGTAATGATGATCTCCAGCGCTGTCTTTACTTGGATTGGCTCATTTTGCAGATATAAATGCTACTATATTTTCTTCCTTGAAGCTATCAGGCACCTTTAAACAAAAAAACTATTTTTGTTCTTTAGGAACTAGGAACTGAAAAGTCTTGTTTTTCGTCTGGACCGGTGTAAATGAACAGGGTCTTGTGTCAAAATAAGCTGGATTCTCTTCAAAGCCGGGGGTTCTGGAAAGGCCAGGACTGACGCCCCATGTGCGTGTTGGTTTCTGCGGCTCTCTGGGCTGCTCAGCCCCGGGGGGGTGGGGCAGAGCTGGCAGATTCTCTTACACGACGCATGTGCTAATGCACTTAATTGTAAATGCAAAATAGGCTGTGCGTTTTGGCAAAACAGGCACTGTGGCAGGAGCGTGAAACCCTAACCGTGCTACATCTCGATTTTACACCTGCAGGCAGAAGTTAGGGCTGACGTTCGGGTATCGGAGAGCGAGCGCGAACCCGTCACCTTACACACACACACGCACACAAAAGCACATGTGTTTTCAGGAGGGAGTCATGAGGCATCTGTTTTGTCTTTAATCCTCGGCTGAATGTATCCCTGGTACGATGGGTGTGTGTGTTTCATGGGGTGTGAACCAGACTCACTATTTTGGGGTTAAATAATAGGTGACATTTGGGTCTGTAGCTGTGTCTTATGGATGGACAGACGGGATGAGGGAACGAGATGCTGTGGGTGATGCCTGTATTATCTGTGGGCGGGGGGGGTTGCATAGATCACATTTGGGACCAGCATGTCCCCAAAATATGGTAAAACCTGAAACTTCCTTTTTTAGGTCCCCTTTTGGATTTTGTAAACAGCATACATGGTTACTTTTGGTTAAGGTTAGGGCTGGGTAGGGATTAAGGGTGTTGTAACTGGGATTAGGGTTTTTCCCATAGAAATGAATGGAAGGTTACCATTTAGATAGGTACGCCAACATGTGTGTGTGTGTGTGTGTGTGTGTGTGTGTGTGTTGCCCCTCCTGGCACATCTCTCCCCTCCCGTCCTGATTGATTACACTGACAGCAGCCGCTTCATAAAGGACCCCATCCGTCAAGCCCTGAAGGACCTGGGGGAGGAGTGGGTACTGGTGGGGGGTGGGCAGGCGCCCGGGGAGAGCTGTCTGCGGGGCCCCTCCCAGGGCGAGATCCTCCACCTGCAGGGAAGCGAAAGGTACCTCTCTCCGGAAGGCTCTCTTTTTTTAATTAAGGGAGTCGGATTATCATTTGGGATTTGACATATTAATTAGGGTGCAAACATTAGGTGAAAACAAGTGTAAATGTAATTAGCTGGGCAAAAGCTGAACTGCTTAGAATTCATTATTGCGTTGCGATTAATTACCGCGTGGCACCTAGCGCCATCTTGGCTGGTGACCTGAATGACGCCGGTTCGAGTCCAGAGACGGTACCTGCTGTTGTGCCTTAGAGCAGCGTACCTAAGTGCTTCAGAAAAAAAATGTAAGTTGCCTTAGATGAAAATGGCAGTTACATCACCTGCATGTACTCCTATCATACATCTATCTTCCAAATGCATGTAGCAGTCCGTGTTACATGGGGGTGTGGATCACCTAGGTGGGGTATATCCTGGACAGGAAGCCAGGGTGAGTTTAGCAATTTCGGAATTCCGTGTCTGTTAAATAGGGTTAAAAGGGAGATGTTTTTGTCTGGATCTCAGTAGCTCGGACCTGATTGGTGATTTTCCGCTGTGCCAAACGAGGGCCGCGACCCCATGCTGGGCCGGTGGCTACGGTGGCCTGTGATCCTGATCGCTGATTCCTGCGTCAGAGCTGGGGTGCCCCCTGAGGTGGGTGGGTGGGTCAAAGCCGGCTCTCCAGGATCCTTGCAGGACAGTCAGCTCACTGTTCTGTGTGGAGCCCCCCCCCCTCCCCCCGGTCCGGGGGTGGCGGGGGAGCGGGCGGTAACGATATGGATGGAGCCGTCCTGCAGATTTTAGAGATACCGGGCAGAATTCCTCTGCGCTGTCCCTCCTTTTCTTGCCGTCCCAGATACGCAAAAGGCTTCCTCTGCCCCCCTGACCCCCCCGGGGGTGCCTTGCCTGTGATGCCCTTTCCTACGGACTTTCGGCTGGACCCATGGGTGAATGTTTGGCCCCGTCGCTGCCCCTCGTGGGGAAAAGAGGCCCATTGTGAGAATGTACACATTTCTGTCATTGATATAAGTGAAGTCGTCCGTTGTTAAGCAGGCCTGCGATTGCTGCCTCAGTAAATAGTTTGCATTTATGGAGCAGTGTTTGTATCGTGGTGTTTTATACGTTTGTTATATGTTTGTTCACTTTCTGCTGTGGTCTGTGGTGGCGCGTTAAAGTCTTTAGAAGTATAGTGTGAAAATACAGCATTTCACCCCAGCTTGGGGGTAAAATCTCAGTGAGGTCAGGTTGGCTTAGGTGTGGCTCAGGGTCCAAGGCAAGATGGAACTTTGTCAGTAAAACTGGAATAGACCACCCCTCTCCCTCAAACCAACCCAGGGCAGCCGGAGAGCCACAATCCAAACTTTACTCAAACCCTTCTGCTGCTTATTCAGAAGCTTCATTTGTGAATCCGGATACACTAGGAAATCATCTTCAAACCGTTCCTCAAAAAGACAGCCCCCCCAAGCCAACACTGTGCTTCCCCCCAAGAGGAATAAATCATGTGTGTGTGGATGTAGTCGCAACAAGCTTACTGCTTCTGCGTGAAACACGCGTGTTTCGGTGGGTTATTAAACACTTCGGCGAGCTCGACTTTGATCAGTCTGTAACGGCCCCGCCCTGCCTCGCCCAGCCTCGCACTGCCTCGCACTGCCTCGCCCTGCCCTGCCTCGCCCTTTTTGCCTGTCAGGAGCATAGGGCCCCACAGGGGGTTCCAGAGGCCCGGGGAGTTGGGCGCTTTGCATCGGCACAGAGCAGCGACTCCGGATCCCCCTGGCAGGTAATGAAGAGCGCGACCTAATGTCTGCTGGAGCCATCCGAGCTCGTAGGCTGATCTGCATGTGTGTGCCTGAAGGATCTCCACCCCCCCTGCTTCAATTAGAGGGGGAGGCGAGGCGAGGACTAGAAAAGGGTGAGTTCATTGGGCTTAGATCCGTCCCTTAACTTTAATGTTTTGTCATTCCGCTTTGAAGCTGGAAGCGGGAGGAGGTGAGCTGGGTTTGTTCCTGCACCAACGGAGGAGCGACTGAAGGAAGATCTTTACATGCCTGACAGCGGGCATGGGGAGGGCATGGGGGGCAGGGTGGGGGCAGGGTGCATGTGCTACAAGGTAAGATCGCACAGCTCTCTTAAATTGCCACTAATGAGGCACGACTCTGGCGGGTGAGAGGCACTCGAATTGATTAAATTTGCATGGGAGCCTAAATCATGGTTCACCCCTCAGGAGTAGAAAAGCCCCCTCCTTGGCTGGATTATGGGGGGGGGAGTGCATCTGCCTGCATGTCATCAGCCCATCAATCCCCCCCCCCCGTGTTTATTATGGTTTAACTGCAGCACATCTCCTGGTCTCCATGTTTGTGCGTCACTTCCCGTGCCGATCGTGCCGCATCGCTGGTGCCCGCCTCCCTCCAGCAGGCCCAGCTGTGCCCCGCGTGCGATGATTTCCTTCTCCAAAAATGCGGCTCGGGTCCCGATCTCCCACGCCGGCATCTCCCTGAATGGGCCCCTTATTCGGGATAGGCCAGCCTTTATCCTCCCATTGACAGCTGTGGTTGCCGCAGCCCCCCCCGGCGCCGGTTCTGATCCGCGGCGCGGGTGGAGCGGGGCTGTCGGTTGAGGCCCGGCTGATTGACTGTAATCAGGTCTGGGGACTAATCAGCGCTTTTTGCCACGTAGCTGTGATGAACTGCTGGGGATTGTGGGCGTGGAGCCCATGCGCCTGTCACAGCAGGGCCACCGGGGGGCACCCCACACCCGGCGCCATCTGACCCCATCCCTGGGTGACAGTCCGTCTCATATCAGTTAAAGCACATGAAGTGCTGTTTTTGCCCCCCCCCTTCACATCTGCACATACTGAAGTCCCTTTTCCTCCTCAGAACAGGAGCTGGTCGGACCAGATGTCACGTGACACTGGCCACCGTGTGCCTCCCCCCAGAGCTGGGGGGGGGCTGGGTGACACACCGCCAGCAGATTCTTTTTTTTTTTTTTTTTTTAAAAAAAAACATGGTGGGGTTTGGCTGCTTCATCAGTCGTGTCCCTACAAGGGATCATACAAATTAATTAACCTAATTAAAGGCTCTGATTGCAGGCGTGATTTGGGAGGGGGTGGGAGGCCGCAGTCAGGGGCTGGGGCTATAATGAGCTGGGAGGTATGGGAGAGATGCCAAGTGCTGTGCTTTTTTTTAATGAACCCCCCCCCCCTGCTGTCCCTCTCTCTTCCTCCCCTCCTCTTCCTCCCCATGTCCCTCGCTGCCCCTGTTCGCCGCGATTCCCATGTCCTTCATCACGTTCCGCTTTATTATACATCATCCCTGTGAGTGTAGCCCCCCCCCCCCGATCTTCCTCATCCCGTGTCTCTTGTTCCCTACGCCTAACTTGACTCTGTTCATTTTCTAAATGTTTATCTTTCCTTTATTTTCTATCAGAGGTGATCATTCTCCCATTTCCCATGCACTCTAATTCCTTGGGAAGTCCGAATGTTGGATTTCCAATTAAAGGTGGACTTTTATCTTTTCCCCAATCTTTTCTTGCTACGTTTTCCTGCTGATGTTGAGATGGTTTAATCTCTCTGTCAACAGAGCTGCTGCATATGAAGCCCGCAGTCAGGCAGGTGTGTGTG